GAGCTGTGGGACGGCGTGGTGTGAGGCTGCTTGCCGGCCCTTGTTTCGCTGCGGCTTGAGCATTGCAGCGGGAGGCAAGCGTTGCCGCTGTCGCCCGCCTGTAACAGCAGCACTGCATGCGGCTCTCTGGACCGCTCATATGACAGCACTGCAGGTACTTGAGCCTCCCATTCTCCCATGCTGGCCTGGGGCTGGGCTGCTGGGCTCTGTGCCGCTACGCATGAGTTGAATCGGCTGCGGGATTGTGGCGGCAACATGAGGGCGAAGTGGAAAGCACATGTCGCGGCGCTCCTATCGATATCGGGCTGGCCTTCGCTTCTGCCATCGTCCACGCACACACAGCATATCTCAGAGGCGCAGCTGGCGCCACGGCCAGGCAGGGCCCCCGCCTCGTGGCCATTGCCTCGTCCAATCGCCCTCTGCGCTGCCCAACGAATGGACCCCAGGTGCCAGAGGGTGCCGGGATAGGGCCGGGCCGCCTGCCTGCGCCCGCTCGTAGAACCCTTGCCATCCGGCTCGTGCGCTGTGCCCCGCAGGCAGCTTGCGGCCTTCGAGGCGCAGACCGCCTCCCAGCAGCTCCGGGAGGAGGAGACCAGCATCGGGGACTACAGGGTGGTCAAGATACTGGGCAGGGGATCCTTTGGGCGCGTCGTGCTGGCCGAGCACAGCGGCGGCGGCCTGGCGGCGATCAAGCTGCTGCCGCGCGGCCACTACGTGCGCCCCCGCCACCCCCCGCGCCTGGCCTGCAGCGCCGCTGCATCGGGACGCAGCCTGGCGCGCGTGCCTGGGAGGCTGTGCCTCTCACGGATGCCTGCCCGCCTGCCTGCTGCCTGCCCGCTGGCGGCACCTGCCTGCTTGACCCCCTCCCAGCACCGCCCGACCGCCCTGCCACACCTCCCGCAGGTTAGAAACTACCACACGTATGTGGTGCGCGAGATCCTGCACCACGCCAGCCTGCGGCACCCGTTTGTGGTGGCCCTGAGCCAGGTCATCCTGACGCAGCGCTCGCTGGCGATTGTGATGGAGTATGCGGCCGGCGGCGACCTGCTGCGCCACCTGCAGGCCCGCAGGTGCGCGTCTGCAGGGGCGGGGAGGGCAGGCGGGCAGGCAGGCGGGGCGGACAGGCGCCACGGTCGCTTTGGCGGGGCGGGCCGGGGCACCTGCTGCCTGCTGCTGCCTGCTGCCTGCTGCCCCGCCGGCCTGCGACAGCTGGCACGCGCGCCACCCACCACCAACACACACACACACACACACGTTGTGGCCCCGTGGATCCTCCACCTTCCCCTCCACCTCCACCTCCACCTCCACCTCCCCTCGCCCCGCCGCCGCATCACCTTGCACCCCGCCCCCCCCCTTGCCGCCGCAGCTGTCGGCGTCTGAGCGAGGGCGAGGCGCGGTGGATGTTTCAGCAGATGGCCATCGGGCTGGCCTA